TTTTTAATTAAAAATTTTCTATTCGTAAACAGAAAAGTTTCAACTGTGCCTTTTCCTAGTAAATTTTGTCTAGTAAATTTTTTTGAGCAGGATTTGCTGTCCGAGCCTGTGCTAAGAAGGCACTGAAAGGTGCTGCTAGACAAAAGTACAAATCTGCTAAACGACGAGCATAAAAGGAAGCATGGTGATTTATTGTAAAGGAGTTTAATTCGTCACCGATTTCCAAGGTAAACGCTTCCATTCCCCATTCTGAAACGGTTTTCTAGTTTTCTGTGCTTCTGTAAACATTCCGTTCAGCCAAGAATCTCCTAAGCCAAATTTTAAAATATCAAAGCTGGTCTCCGCAAAGGCTGCGCCGCGAATAAACTGTCGCGTCACCTCACCGGCGGGGGCAAGCCTCCACCCAATATTGACCAATAGCTAAGCGGCACTAGGCAAGAGTTACGTGCTGCGATTGAGCTAACAATCGAAGGTCTCGCACTAAATTTCGATGATGACGAAGGTCAGTTTGTCCCTCCAGACTCTGTGTCCAGCAATGGCACAACGAAGCTTTTTCTCGATAACATCCGAATGACAGAACCTTGGCCAAATGCTGGCAGCAAAGTGCAGTCAAAAAACCGAAAACATGATAAGTCCCGGTTTAACGCGCTTAAATCGCAAATTATCACGATTTAAAAAATATGAGACTAAAACTTCGTCGCGTCGTAAACGGCGACCCAAAAATATTAAGTCGATGTGAACAAATGCAATTTTGAGTTAAATCACCATTCAGCGAATTTAAATCGCCTTGTAAATTTAAGCCTCGAAATTTTAAGAAAAAGCACTTGCTTATTTTTTATTCATAAGGCTTATTATATTTCGTTATCGTTTCGTTTTTGGTGTTTATGTTTGAAATATTAACAATTACTTCTTTGTTTGAAGAATGAATGCACAAGTCAAATGCCCAAAAGGCAAAATACAACTGTGCTGAGAACTCGACGTTTAGCTGTATTAAAAAACATTCCAATTGAAGCTTGCTAATTTAATGCATTCGCATAACATGCAAAGGCGAACAGAAGCTTTCACTTAGTATTTCAAATCAACAGCAATACTTTTTTTGCAATTTTTTTTATATATATAAATATTAATATATTTTACCATAATGATCCGAGATAATAAAAACAAACCAGTTTCCTTGATCCTCATAAATTTCTACGCATGCTCGTACACACTCAGTCCTATAATCGTAATTGTTAGTAGATATGTGTGTATGTATGTAAGTGCGTGCATTAAAAATCGAATTCGAATGTGACAAGTGATACCCAGCAAGCATTTGGGGAATTGTTTGGCGAAGGCATTGGCGACTCGCATAGAAGAATGTTTGAGAATAACACATTTTCCAGGCTTTGATACCAAACTATAATTTTCCAAAGGTTTTGGGATCGCTTAATTTTAATATGACATAAGTTTTGTTCCATCACCTTAGATTCTCGAGATTTTCTAAACAGAAAAAATTTTTTGCTCAGAAAAGTCGATGATATATTTGAATATATTCTGTTATATTTTTTTCTGTACCTGTGATATTACTCTTTGAAGTTTTTGGGTTCAGCGATATATTTTTCGCTAAACTAAACCTTAAAAATTTATAGTATAAATGTATACTTCATTTAAAAATAGTATACAACTCCTTTCTAACGCGAAATGTGCTGCTACTTTTTTCACCAGGTGAGTCAAATACGACTTTTAAAAGCAGCCTTCCTAAATTGCTTGCATGCTGAGCCTGGAGTTTGAGTCAATAATTTTTTTAAATGCTGGCTGGGTACGGCTACTGCAAATGAAGCGCATATTCTGACACCAGAGCAAAACTCTACATCTAAATGCAAGTCAGAGCATCAGATAACCCTATTTAACGAGATAAAACATGTTTTTAAGTATTTTCTGATGCAGCTTTGTAAATATAATAAAATAAAATTTTAATTCGATGTCCCAGCTAGTACCTATAAGTAACTCCGTGCTACAAAAACCAAAAAATTTCAAAACCCACCAAAAAAGTGATAGACTAAGTACCAAATATAGTAAAACTGCGTTTTAAATTTTTCTCGTTGACAATAGGATTTGTTTGAAAAGGAGTTTGAAATTGCAAGAATAGGTTCAGCTCAAACAGTTATTCTAAAAAATGAGTGCAATTTAGAATAACGATATGACTATCAAATAAAAGAGAACTGAATACTATTAAATATTTTGGTGCAAAAGGACGAATAGGTATTGAACATGCCCTTTTAATAATTTTTTTTTATATTAAGCTGGTAAAGTTAGATGGGGCAAATTTGAGGATGCGGTAGTGTACGTATTAATGCTTAACATATATTTTTTTCCAAAAATAACTATTGAAAATTTTCATTCAATATTCAAGGCCAAAGTTTTAAAAGGACATTTTCAATACTTCTGCGTCCTTGTGCACCAATAAATTTAATTGTTTTCAATTTAGAAGAATTTTCTCTTTTATTTGGTACCCATATTGGTATTCAATATTACGCTGATTTTTATTTTTTAACTTACCATATCTTTGAAATTTCAGAGTCCTTTTGAAAAACTCTGTTGTCTGAGAAACTGGGTTTGTTGTGTGTAAAATGCACTTCGCGGGAAAGTTTAAAAAGTGATAAAACAAAGTTTTTGAAAAA